TTCTGGAACTTGACCCAATGAAATGAATGTTTCTGCCTGTGACAGATTGCCCGTCCAAGTTAACACTGCGTGTCGCTTGTCACTCTGAGCAAGTTGCAGGTGTACTGATGAGATGTCGAGTTTTCGAGATACATCTGTATGGATAGGAAAGAACTTGAAAGAGATCTGCTTGACTTCATCTGGCTTAACTGTCAGATCTGTTGTGGGTGAAGAATTCGAGGTCCTTGTGCGAATCCTTGAATATCGTGTCCTTTGTGGAGATTCGTGAATAACTTCGGACTTCGTTGTCCCTTGTGGGGCGCCAAAATGTGCGCCTCAATCTCCACGGATTGTAAAAATATCGAATTTCAAACAATTTAATTCGAGCATTTTATCGGCAAAATAACTCGGTCATAATGATATTTCATAACAAACTTTTTTTATTGTTAACATCGGTAACATCAGCCACAAAAAACTGCATAACTCAAAGCAAGCTGAACCAAATTAGAGCGAAAAGACGGTTAAAATAGGTTTTGGGGGGGATCGAACCGGGTTACAGAGCATCCCATCAAGTTCGCTGCATATTTGAGTTCTAGAAAGGAAATGACCTAGTCGGGATTCGAACCGGCGCCGAACCCGCCGGGACGCACCACGTATACGTTTGGCTACTGTCCCTATATGCATTTACATTTTGGTTCAACTTTATATGCACTTATACTCTCGCTTACATTTGAGTGTATATGCATTTGTACTATTGTTTTATATTTGCGCTGCAACATTCAGTATCGTTTAAAAATCTGGCTGGCCGAAACTTGTTTAATTTGACCGGAGATCATATCAGAGACAACTATGGTTAACTCAAATGTTAACGAATTTTCGATGAAGAAACGCTGATTTTTTTTCAAAAAGTGTCATAGATAAAATTCAGCTGACAACTTTTTTCTATGGCTGCCAAAATCTCGTGTCTTATACTACTGTCTCGTACAGACCTACAGTTATATAATTTAGAAGAAAATTAGTTTGCAAGCATTTAGTGTCATTTTTCAGAATTTAATTGAATGTTTGTGCTTGTCGTGGCTCTTTTGTTAAGACAAATTTTGACTTTTCAAAGAAGCCATTTAAAGAAAAATGATAAAACTAACAAAAAATATTTTGGATTGTTTCGTCATCTCGTTTACAGTTTTTTGATGTTAAAAACCAGTCGGAACAATCTATGTTTTTCCTTATTCCTGTAGTTTTGTTCTTCTGAGGTTACGTTAGCCATCGATGAGATAGGTGTGACTTGGTGAAGGGGGTGTTCTCATGATTCAGGGACCGAATGATGGAAAACTTTTAATCAATCAGAATTGTTAGACGTTACTATTCGCTAAAAGGTTTTTGAACAAAATGAAAGATAGATATAGCAGAAAACGCCAATTTGCAAGACTAGCCAAGTTTTGTCGTACAGTTCGCGCAGATCTCAAATAATTTTTTTTTCCAATTTTTCAAATCGTTTCAGATTTTTCTTATGCCTTTCAGCTGACATAATCCTTAGTTTGCAATCGGTCAAATTTCATTTCATTGGCATGGAATTGCTTGCCTAATTTAATAGGTATTTCTGCCGACTAAGATATTTCTGCCGACTAGGGTATTTCTGCCTATCAAGTTTGCTTATTTTTTAAGGCATTTCTTGGTTTAATAGCAGACCGATCTTCAGCAGACCTGTTTTTTTAGCGGAGCGCTGATCTTTCAGCAGACCGAGGAATTTCAACCGAACGGTTTTTTAGCGGACCGATCTTTTAGCAGACGCAAAAGAATTAGCAACTCAGAACACTACCTTCAAATTATTAGGCAATGGAAAGTAGCGACTGCTTGCTCTCCGATGCGCTAAGATTTGGCGCGAGTGATTTTGCATTTAATTTTTCCCCCGCTAATTGAACCATTTCTTTTTTTGAAGTTGGTAGTGTTGTTGTTAAATCGTGAGATATTTGTCTTAAATAGGAAAACTTCACCCAAAAGATAACGTCTTTTTCCACCTGTTAATCAATTATGCGTTGGTTACATCACTTTGGCCCGCTAAAAAACTTATTTTCACTTTTTCTGCTATGAGATTGGCTTGCTAAAAGATTGATTCCCAGTTTTGGTAATTTCGATAATGACTATAGACATGACGATGTTTGATCACTTTTTCAGTTCTGCGTTTCTAACAGTTGCCACGATGCTGATCTGAACCAATTTGATTTGCGAATTGAAACTAGGTTGCGGCCTTTTTTGGTTTAAAAGGGCTAAGGTTTCAATTTTCAATTTAAGACAGTTCTCAGGTAGAACAATTGAAAAAATTCCGCTTCAAATAAAGCTCCTCTTCTTTAACTAGGACATCTCACAGAGCGTGGAATTAGATGAGCCAGGGGCGGATTTAGGGGGGGACGCCCCCCTTTCAGGGATTCGACCCCTTGCCGACCCAGAGGGTCTCCCCTTTGGTACTTTTTAAGAAATCCATTTTCGGCCGACTGACCGTAAAATTTTTCTAAAGGCGCCTTTGGCGCCAATATATACTAACTTTGAGGGGGAGCGCGCGCCAAAAAAATTGCCTGTGGCGCAGAAAATTTGGCCAAAACAGCGTCTTTTTAGTGCTTTAGGAGAGCGCGGAAAATCAATTTGGACGAGAGGACGACCTAAAAGAAAGGTCGTCAAAATTTTCAATAACTAATTTTTTTGAAACCCCCCCCCCTCGAGAAAATCCCAGATCCGCCCTGAGATGAGCCATCAGTAGTAGCTACTTCAGTAATCAGGTTTGCATGCAGTTGCCACTTCTTTAGCAGCTGCGCTTTCAAAAAAATTTTCAAGATCTTGGAAAATCCTGGCAAGATCATATTCAGGATTCAAAATCATGCCAAGGTCTTTTATATCTTGCATAATCTTGCATGTTACCTTTGCAATTTTTTCCAAGATCTTGTTATTGGGTGGGCCACAAATTGGACCAAGTGAATATTTCCCTCCTATATCAAAATAGAGGGAAGATTGTTCACATGGGCCTACATAATAAACGACAAAGCAACTTCATATAACAAACAAAATCCTAAGCGTTCCTACTGCCCATTAATTGGTCTCGATTAGCTTTTGTTTGAATGATATATTGACAAACCATGAAGTTTCAACCTAATATCAACCTTGAAGTTTTGAAATTTGAGGCGTGCGTGGAATTAATAAGGCCAATTAGCTTTGCCTTAATTCAGTTTTTTATTCAGACCGATAAAAAATTGGTTTGAATAAAAAACCACCCCAGGCATGTATATTCCTACTTTCTTCGAAAGGTGGAACAATTTCCACAATTTCTTCTCTTTCTTCGAAAGGCGGTGGTTCTAAATGAGATATTGCCGTCCTTTTTCTGCATTTTTGCAAAGTTATTTCAAAATCATAGATGTTGCAAAATTAGCATAAATTAAAGATTGCTGAAAAGAGAACTTCACACGAGGTCACTCAAACCGTACCGGATTTTTTTTTGGGGGGACGCCCCCTCCTCAGGGATTCGGCCCCCTGCCGACTCAAAGGGTCCCCCTTTGTACTATATTGAGATATTCACTTTTGGATGACTGACCTTCAAATTTTTCTAAAGGCGCTAATATATACTAACTTTGAGGCTACAGCGCGCGCCGAAAAACGCAATTTTTTGGTCAAAATTTTCCAAAAAGTGCCCAAAAACGCCTTTTTGGACTGTTTTTTGAAACAGTTGCCCGCGGCGCAGAAAATTTGGGTCAAAATAGGGTCTTTAGAGTGATTTGGGAGAGCTCAAAAAACCAATTTGGTCGACCTAATAAAAGTCAAGAAAAATTTCAAGTTTTTTTTGAAAATCCCCCGCCCCGCCGCCAATATTTCCAAATTGAGATGTGCATTGAAATTAAATTATAAGTTTTATTTCATGCCAAAAAAATTTCATTTTTAATTTCGAAGTGATGTAAACAAACAGTTTCTGAGTCTTCCTTGGCAAATTTGTTCTTGCGGGCACCACGCTGCTTAGGAAAACAACACAAAAATATATTCGTTCTCTTAATAAATCAACTGAGACAATTTTCAGGGACAAAAAAAAAGAAAAGTAGAATACAAAAACACAAAACACGTAATTATGAGTTATGTATTAAGTACTATACTCATAGAGTAATTTCAGATAAGGTACACCGTCTGCTCGTCACGCTATCTTATTTTCGGCCGGATAGATTCGTGCAATTTCTTAGTCTAATATCAATCTTAATCTTACTCTTATATCTCCTAGTCTCAATAGATCTAGTGTAAACCGGTTTGCGCGAGTTAGTTCCAGAATGAGAACAACTGTATTCTAAGTTTAATTCAAATTGTTCTGGTGTTGAAACTACAAGTAGTTTCAATACTTACAAATAAGCGGGTTGTTAGCTTGATGGAGTATGATGGAGTATAATACTTCATTTTTTATTGAAAGAAATAGCCGTTTGATAAAATCAAGCTAGAGTTTGGCAAAATCAAGCAAAAACTTTTTTAGCCATTTTATTAAAATATTCTGAAAGAAAACATTGGGCTTTCAAATTTTGACGAAAACATTTTCTGAAAACTTTTCTTATTGTTTTTGTGTTGTGCATTAGAGGTAAGCTAAATTTCATATGGGGCCTGTTTTTAGAAAAAAAACTTTGTTGTCGTTTTGAATAAAGAAAAGCTTCTCTTTATTTTTCCTTACTGAAATGAAAAACGCTGAATTCAAAACATATAGGTCAAAACAACTAAATTGTTTTCTCAATTTTTAATTCAACAACGAAACAAAGTTAATGGAGTTCGAAAAAATTAAAAAATTAACAGCAATTATCAGAAAAAAAAACTTAATTTTCTGTTTCCCTCTTTTTGTGAAGTTTTTCACCAATGCTTGTTATCTTCCCCAATTGACGAATTTAAGCGTCCATATATGGAATTTTGATATTAATTTGAAAAGAGACGGGAGGTTAAACTGATTTTGACTTCATTTTTTTATCAGCATTGTCTTCATTTTCCCTTTAATTGGAAAGAAATTTATAATTGGATGGTTCCCAATTTGTTTTTATCAATCAAAAAACCAAAATAAAACTTTCTGTAGCCTCGTTTTGAATAAACTCGGATGTCTAATTTATTTGTTCTTCAGTAATAATTTTTAGTTAACAATAAAAAGGTGTGAAAAGGCTAGAATTGATTGTTTTCATTAAAGATTCGGGCAGTAGTTTGCATGTATAATTCTTTAGTTCTACACACTTTTTCAATACCCGATGCCATAAGGGTTTTAAATTTTATTTCTATTCTTTCAACCACTGAAGAAACTACAACATCGCCATGGTTTTTTCTATCGAATCAGAAAATGGCAAATTATAACAAATCCAGAAATTGTACCATCTTCAATGATGTAAATCCATGTCGTTATTGGAGTAAATAGCAATTTTTCTTCCAATTTTTCAGGTCAAAGAGCCGCCGATCTTCTTATAACACACGGCTAATTACACATCTATTGTAATATCTTCAAAACCAGTCGTCCGATTTGAGAGTTGAGAAAAATTGTAGGAATTGGAAAAGGCTTCTAGGCGCCAAATTACAGCAGACTGGAAGACTGCTTCTTTTGATTTTTCAAATTCTTACATCATTTCACGCTTTTACATCTGGCCCTTATTTCACCTTTGTCCCCGCACTTAGACAGAAACAAAGCGCGGCAAAGGAAAAGAGAGCGAGAGAGCGAGAGGAGAATTGGTGCTCTATTGGTGGTCTATACTACTATATGCCTCAAGTTGGTTCCACAATTTTATCTTTAACACCACTTTGCCTGGTATTTTTGCACCGTTTACCATCAAAGAAAGTGGGAAAGCTTTGAAACAAACTACTCACAAACCTCTCTTGATTTCAAGTATCGCTTATTAACGAATATTGTTTGTTTTATTGTCACTTTTTGTCTTTATCAAAAACAGGTATGTTAACATTAACTCCTTTTAGCCCAATTTGATGAGCATTTCTCTGATTTTTTTTGTTGTTTTGGCCGAAAAAGGAATGTTTTTTCTTAATGAATGTTTAAAATTTGTCGACCATGACTGAATGATTAAGATTGAAAAGTCAATGCATCCTTTTCAGCACATTATAAATAACATTAGGAAATGCACAACATAATATTAGAAAATACATGGAAAAATTATTTTTTAAAAAGAATTGTTTGATTTTTCTCGGCACGGCAAAAAATTAGATGTTGAAAACTGCCCAAAGAGTAATTAACTAATGAGTAAAAAGCGCTAATTTCTAAATGAAATTCTAGTAAAAACCACGTTTCCTGTGAAAAACTTCTGGCGCAACAGTATTTAAGATCCATACAAGAGGCACAAAAGAGTTAAGTTTTCCTTACAGTTTTTTCAATTCAATCTCGTTTTCTCCGATTATTTTTGAGATTTTCTGGGCGGCTCTAAGAATTTGTATGTTTTTTTTTGAGTACCAATAAAATTTACACCTCTACACAGTTTTGACTCTCAAAAAAACATGCCAATATATTAGATTATAATCGAACAGAAAATAGTTTCAGCTAATCAAAGAAAATTTGCTAGTTTGAAAAGTAACCAAAAGTCGTTCATTGACAAGATATACCAGAACTATGTTTTCTAATTTGCTAATTCAAAATAAACAAAACTTAACTTAAGTTATCCTGGATATCATTTTTAAAAACCAAGATGAGGAAGTGTGATGACGGCATGAAGTCTTTTTTTTTCACTAACTCTCTTGCATGCTTTCGAATCAGTTTTCTGAAGTTTATAAAAATCGAGACTCAAACCAAAAAATTAACTAAATATTGTTTGATTTTTTATGTTGCACGGGTTGCTACAGAATAATATCGTCAAAAACAGTTTTTATAAAATCCGCAAAATGTCAAAACTACGGTAAAAATTCAATTAAGATTTTTTGAAATATTTTGTTTTCAGGAGGGAGCGGGAGAGGGAGGTTTACCAAAAAAAAAAATACGCCTCCACCTCAGTAATAGTTTTGGACGAATTATGTAAACATTTTGGTCTCTTATATCGGAGAAAATGACTTTCTGAGTCAGAGGAACTACTACTAGTTTTTATTTAATTAATACCATAACAAAAAACTTGAAATTTTGAGTAAATTTAGTCGACTTATCAATAAAAAAGTCTTCTGGCTTAGAAAAAAACGGTTGAACTCAAACTCAATCAGAAACATAGCATAATTTTAGGATGAGCCTAACATATTTAAATATAATGCAGCTATAAATTTCAGCCATATCCATCGTTTCTTAAGAAGCTCAATATAGTTTAAGAACACAGATGAGGAATTCTGATACAAGTTTGCTCCAAATGAAATGATTTCCGGCCAACTATCATTCAAGCTTTTATATCAATTTTTAATTACCGCAAAGAAACGTGCCTTTTTGAAGTACAAGTGTGCTATTTAGTTCAATTTGAGCATAACAAATTGCTGTTTTGGTTTCGATACTTGTTAATTATTTTTTTGACTAATGGTTTCATTACCATTTCTGCTTTACAAATAAAAAAAAGATTAATCCAAAAGTGTACATCATCATACTTAAGTGTAATGGTTATCTTATTCAAAACGGGGAACAATAAACGCCTCAAAAGCATCAATCGTAGCAAAAAGAAGTTTGAATACTGAATTGAAACAAAACTGCTTGTATCAACGCGAAGCCATGAATGTTTTGACTGCTTTTTAAATTACCACTGAAAAGGCTTTAATATAATATATCAATCGACCCATTCCCAGAATTATTTGTAGTAACTTATTTTGCGTGGAAATAAGAAAGTAAAAGAAAAAATCAAAAAAAAAACTAAAACACACCCGAATACAAAGTTCCTCGCCATTTTAGTAAATTCGTCGGTATGCTAGCATTAGGTCGTCGGAAGAACTTTGTATCCGGTTTTCACTCAAATCAAGTACCCCTAAAACATTAAATAGTTTCTTTTTGTTCCGACTTTCGATACGAAAGTAACGGAATATTTGTGCTCGGGGTGGGTTTTTTTTTTTCTTCAGACAAATTTCGACTTTTTATCTAGCCATTTTTGACGGAATTTTTTTATATCATTCGAAAGGTATTGTTCTCCTGAGCTTAAATTTGAAAAGATATTCCACCTCTGATCATTTTTCGTGAAGTTACGAGGGTTTAAAGATTGCCATTTTGGCCAATTTGGGACAATTAACGCGCGATATATTTTGCGCTATTAACGCGTAAGCGGAGAGTTAATCCGTCCTAGAAATTGTTCCAAATTGGTTAAAAGAAGCTTATTTGCCATAAATGGTTTGTTACAAGGAGCGAAATCTATCTTTTTGTACTTTATATGGCGTGTGGGGGGATGATTTTCATTTAAAAAAATTCACATTTTAGAAAAAAAAATTCTTTTGTTTTATTTCATTGAATTTTTTAATGTTATTACTGCTCCATAAACCTTAAAAGGCAGTCGGAACACTCAGGGCTTTGCCCTGATTGATACGAGCAGTCTTGTTTGCTTTTAGGGGAGAAGTGTTTTAAAGATTGCAGAAAGCATCTCTAATTACCTTTTCGAATATTAATGTAAAGTTTAAAATTATTTCTTGCTTTCAGGCTGAGATGGTCTTTGCCAATTTTCTCAATCGTTCTTTTTGACACCTTATCAAATTAGATATAAGAAATGAAGTCACCGAAAGAGACTTCATTTAATAAAACTACATAGTAAATAGTTTCGAATTGCTCAAAGTTCCTCAAAAAGTTAAATTAGGTAAATATATCGGCTCAGTGGTTACCGGCCATCGATTAATCCTTTCAGGCATCCTTTTATGACTGGCCGGTCTATAAATAATTAAAAGTATAAGTATTGAGAATAATCACGCACATGGAAATACATTTTCCGGTCAAAACTCCTTTTAAAATTGCTCAGGAGAGCCAGTATCTCAAAAATAGCTTGCATTTTTGACGGTTTTTTGATCGTCTTTGGTGTCTGTTATAGATCGAGCAGATTTCTAGCTTAAATCACATCTCGATCCGTGTGTGTTGCTTGAATGTCAGGCAGCATTCGGAAGTTTGGAAAAGTATGGAAAGTTGCATGTAGCAATATTCTTAAATATTCAACAATGGTTCGCCGCGGTGGATGGCCAACCTCCTTAAAGATTCTTGCAAAAAAAGCATCATTTTTCAAATGTCCTGCAAAATATGCATCCTCTGCAAGATCTTGACAGATAACTCTCACTTACAAGAAGACTATCATATTGACTAAGGCCCTCTTACTCTTAAGTTATTATTATACCTATCATGCATATGTGATTTTACACTAACTTCAAGTGCAATTCATGTTAATTATTATCTCAAACAATCAATAGATCCTCGTCGCCCAAGCTTCGATTTTTTTTTGCTGGCAGAATTGACGGTCTCGATGATTTTATCAATAAGGTATCATAAGATTTGTAAACTGATTTTTTTTCAGGACAGAACTCGCTATAAAGCACATTTTTTGCCTTCAACAGAACCGCCATACCTAATTCTGTTTTAATGAATTTATGACTTCCAAGCATAAAAGCGTCTTCGTCTTTTACATGTATTACGTGCGAGAATTGCTTCGTGTGTTGGTGCAGTCGATGAACAAACCGGACAAAGTTAACATAACCCCCCCCCCCCCCCCCAAGCAGTTTGGGGGGAGGTAGTTACCTTGGTTCTCAATTAGGTTTTTCAGCCAACCAAAGTCGAGGATTTTACATGTAGCTCTTAGCAAATTTAATCGAATTAAATGCTGGGTGGAAGATCTTAACTTGGTCTATCTGGGCTGGGGGGAGGAAGTTGACTTGATCCAACAAACCTCTTACCCTGTTGTTGTAAAATGGATTAATTTATGATAAACAACCTCCGTTTAGCCTCTCATTTCCTAATTTAGCTCCTAATTGAATGTAACGCGACTGAAGCACTTTATACTCTTATAACTAGGGATAGTATTTACCTTCCGTTTTTCTATTTTTTGCTGTTTTGTAAGTCTATATCTAAGTTGACATTTGAAAAAAGAAAATAGTGGTGGAAAAACTGTTAGAATAGTGTAAGCAAAGCGGAGTATTATTGGCTCTGTGTCGAATATTAAATTTAGATTCATTAAAAGAATATTTGTCAGTTTTTCGTTAATCTACCCACCTGCTCTAGTGAGCTTTTGTGCCCATTGAGCGAATAAACAACTCACAATCAAATCAAATCTGTTTATCTTATTCTCTGTTTTAGTTCCGATTGTTTGTGCTTAAGAATTCATCTTCCCGCCTTATATTGATGTTCAGGAAACTGAAAAACACAACAAAGGGAATCCAATCAATTTCAATGCCTGATGCTCATCCTCCATTTGGTTGCTTCACATGCCTCGAATTGTAGCGCAAGATTTATGGCATCAATGATCTTTTTTTTTCAAAGTTTGAACTTACTGTTTCAAAAACAAACAAGACATTTGAAAGATTTATTAGCGTCTCTTGGCTATAAATTTTACTAGTTCCTATTGATGCGAAAATGCTTTTAACAAAATAGCTTGACGGGTTATCTTTGTTTCATGAAATTAATTTTGCAAAGATCGTTTATTTTCCAGTTTTCCTTTATTTATCGACTTTTAAAAATCTTTTTGAAGAATTTGTAACCAATTCATATGAACTCCCATAACCGGACCTATATACCACAGTACGAACAGTCGTTCCCGGTTGGAAACTCGCTCGTGCCCGCTCGTCGTTGCAACAGTCCCGAAGAAGACTATATCAGTCGAGCGGTAAGCAAATACCGCGCCACCTCACTCGGCCGGGAGTCGTCAACTTCCGACGAGCGAGCGGGTAGTCCCGGGTACGAGAACTGCTCGGGACACTATATTGGGTTCAGTCGGAAGAAAGGTTCGTTTGAACTAAAACCTGTGCAGATTTCTTCAAACGGGCACAAAAGTAAAATTTCATTAGAAGAAACTCAAATTTTTATCGAAGACCAAGGCAGCGACCATTCTGGTTTCAGTTTGAATAAAAAATTAGCTAATGGCAACGGAGTTGGTGGAAGCTATAACACAGTAAATGGGTTCGACAAATCAAAATATATCAACGCCGATAAGACGAAAAGCTTTGATCACATGACACTATCATCGACTGACGAATATTTCATGACCTTGGATCAAAACAGGTTCAACAACCTATCAAATGGCGAATCACATAGCCAGTTAAACAGATGTCGCGTGTTCAGCTTCATTACCATCTGCTTTGCGACAATTCTGCTCATTTGTACCAGTATTATCCTCTTTAGCTTTACCAATATCTTTACATGCAATAGTCGCTTCTTATGCTGGACTGAAGCTGAAACGACGCCTAGCCAAAAGCCCCACAGTTCGGCCAGCAGTCGTCTTCTGCCAAATGATACATCTGACCCCTGGAATGAACCCAGGTTGCCCTCTGACATAATCCCACTTCATTATGACCTTCTATTGAACATAGACGACAAGCGAGAGATGTTTTATGGCAATGTTTCCATAGAGTTTACAGCCAAAGTGTTCACGAAGTACATCATTCTCCACGCTTCTCCAAAGGTCAGTAGTTGAGTTTAAAGTTTGTCCGGCAACTGTTCTGGATCTATATAAAAACAAACCCTTCCACAGTTAAAGAGGTGCAATTGTTGCTAATTTCAATACTCCTCCATGTGCAGCCTCTGTGTGAATAGCCTGGCCTTCCTATGTATTTATTTGATTATGGTTTTTTATGGCCTCACGGTTATTTTTATGGCCTAAAATCTTCCTACTACAATTTACCGACCTTTTCAGACCAAATTAATTCATCCTTTTGCCCGTGCATGCCCTCGGTCTATTTGTGTTTTGGTAACTATATTTTATTTATGATCATAACCAAAAAATTAATTTCTGTTTTAATAGAAATTGAAATTCAAGGAAAAGTAAGGCAACATCCTACGATATGCTCATAAAACACAAAGCCCGCAGAACAAATTTTGGTTTTGATAACTATTCCACCCTATAGCAAAGGAGGAAGTTTGCAGTTTGTTACTAGGTATAAAATTCGTGTATGCGTGTATGTTGAAGCGTCAATATTTATAGGGCTGGCCGAATTTTTTTTACAGCATTTGATAGGGATTGGAGGAGAGGGGGTTAGTTTTTAACAAGATCTCAGTTTTTGAACATTTTGGTGCCAATTAATCTGAAATAGCAAATTATAAGTTATCGAATACAGGCCGAATACGGCTCTCTTCCTTTTCTGAGAAGCTCCGGTCTAAATTTGACAACTACCATCCTTTAAATTGACAGACATACTTTCCGTTTCAATTAGCAAGCTTAGAAGTCCATTTCCAACTATCCAAGATATAGAAGAGAGGCAATGTGTACAGTTGGTGCTTCTGATGAGGATGAAAAATTATGGCATAGAAGCCGTACTAACGGTTTAAGTGCAACTTTGAAGAGGAAAGAAATACCCAACTTGGTCTGCTTAGTTTTTCTTGATTTGTTGGTCGCGCAAAGTTGGGCTGAAATTTGATTTAATTGAAAGTTGAGACTTCAGACCTAAAATGAAGTTCGAAAACAATCGGGCTTAAATTCAATAAAGCTAAATTTGGCTGTAGGTATCAGTTCCCCCAGAAACAATTAATCCAAAGTTTGGGCATAGACTTTTGCAAATGGAGGGGATTGTTGAATCCGCAAAATTTTTGTTGTTAGACGAAAGTTTATGTTTATCCGATTGCTTCACCGTGATGGCATGAAAGTTTGCGGGGAGCGCGTACCAAAGTAGTTACCTTATATTTTGGTGAATGATACCGCTTTTGTGAAAAAGAGTCTTTGACTGCAAAATCTGATGTCAATAGACGCCCTTCGTTAGGGATTTGACCCCCTTCCGACCCAAAGGGTCCCACCTTTGGTACTTTTTAAGAATACCATTTCAGGCTGACCAACTCTTAAGTTTTTCTTTAGGTACATTCGGCGCCAATATATACTAATATTGAGGGAGAACACGCGCCAAAAAACGCAGTTTTTTAGTCAAAACTTTCCAAAAAGTTTCAAAAGTCTGCCTGCGGCGCAAAAAAAGAGTGCTCAAAAACTCTATTTGTTTGGCCAAAAAAGGCTCAATTTTCCGATCGGCGCCTGATTCACATGGTCAGTTGCGATACATTCACCGCAAAATTTAGCTTTTTGTTCCGACCATTGTTGAAACTGGGGAGGAATTTTGTCTGCGGGTAGATTTTAAATGTTTTTTTTGTTCTTCACGCAAAATGGGGAACCACAATTAATCATCGGAATGGTCGGGTGATTAAAGCATTAATTCGTAAATATAAACTTTCAAAAAATGGTACTAGTGTCCACAAAAAAATCTGTGAGAAAAGTTTGAGTTTAAGTTAAATTTCGAGCAAGTTAGAGCGATTGAGTATTGTTCGTTGCATGGAAAATTGTTTATTTAGGCTAACAAACGTTTTTTTCTACTAACAATAAACTATTTTTAATAATTTGTTTAGCGGTTTCTTTGCAATGAAAATTTCCTAATTAATTACCAAAATGCTTTGCAAAAACAATAGAAAGAAAAGAAAAAAAACTATTATTTTTTGAAGTATTCTTTCTATTTTTTTTTTGTTATTCAGTTCTAGAAAACAAATGTTGTCAGTTGTGCCTAATTCACCAATTTTTTATGTCTTGAATGCTTTTTTCATCACATCACGCTCAAAAAATGACACTAATTTGAAAAAGAAAAAACTTATGTATTTTGTTTTTTTTTATGAAGTGGTTGGAACATTCTGTGCTACTTGCCCAGCAACCGACATCTTTTGTTACTATGTTATTATCAATACAAGATGTTCAAAACTGTTTTTATAAAACAATCCCGCTACTGGAGAGAAACATCATTCATACTGTAGAGTTATGAGGCGTCGTTTCTTTCACATTAACTCAGGTTCTCAAAACAAGCTTGAGTAGATCAAGAGTGGTATCATAACGACATGATTTCAGTTTCGAATACTCTCACCAAAAATATTTCAAATGATTGGCTAATAATAAAAATTTTGACGATGAAATAATTAGTTCCTATTTTTCTTCCGACCACTGAAAGTGGGGAAAAGTTTTGTATTCGGATGTGTTTTAGTTTTCTTATAATTTTTCGTTTTCCACTCAAAGTCCGGCGCCATAACAAGTCGTCGGAAGGGGCTGAGTGGTATACCAAATAAAAGCCCGTGCAGTCATGATTTGAACTCATTAAAAAAATTTCATAAAATCTCCGCTTTAGAGAAGACCGGTTTAAAATTTTTGATTTTTGATCTATTTTTGAGCAAACCAATTGAGTGAGCAATCTTATAATATGTTAATAAGAGGTGAAATTTCATTTTACTCTGAAAATTTCAGTTTTCAAAGCTTTTTTAAACTCTTTTTGAAAAAAAAAATATCTTGAAAAACCAAAACAAAATTCAGCAAAAAAATTTAGCAAAAAATATGTTTTTTTTTCGATGAAAAGGTTGTCAAATATGAAATTTTCTACTCGTATTATCAAAAACCATAATTTGTACGCTTTTTCCAGATTCGCTTATATCCAAACCAACAAAAAACGCTAAATTTTGCAAAAAAAAATTATTATTCGGAATTTTGTGAGCTATTTGCACAGCAACCGCCTATCCCTGTTATTTATTGCACTCATATAATTGGTTTTTATTATGCTTTGAAAGTGTGTGATTATTTTTCTAACTTTTTAAGAAAACAACAAAACAATTTGGCTTGTTTTCTTATTCAGCCAAATTTCGATTTTTCAGCTGACTGTTTTTGAAAAAAAAAAAATTGGATAAGCCATACAATTTCCCTTAAAAATTTAAATCAATTGTACATTTTTAAATGGAATAGCTACATAACTCTATTAATGACCAAAAATATTATTCATAATTTAATTTCGATAAATTTATAAGATTAATTAGGTCAATTTGTTTCGCCCTCAAAATTATTTTTGAAGGGGCTGTTAATTTAAGCCATCAAAGGGGAAAGGGGAAAGGTAAGGTTGATCAAAAAAACTGAGGCCAGTCATTTGGTTTTATCAAAACGATACTATACGCTAAAAACAAAAATTTTCAGCATGTGGGTAAAAAAGACACATGAAAACAAAAATTGTTCGTTTTTTGAGTATTTCATTTTTGGGACACAAACTCAGCCTTAAGTGGCCTTCCCATCATTCAAGATTTTGCCCTGATGATATAAAACGAGTAGTCTTGTTTTTCAATGATGAATTGGTTGAAAATTATGTGATGCATGCGTAGCCTTTTTTTGCTTTTCAATTTGAAATATTGAAAAGCAAAAAGCTAATTTCTTCCTCTTTTTCAAATTAGTGATACTCACGTCAATATTTCAATTCTTTTTCAGATATTCACGTCAAACTTATACATCCTCTATTTCAATTGAAAATTTCACACATAACAATAACGGGGTTTCAGGTGGGTTGATAAAGCAAAACTCTTACATTGAAAACTAGCGATACATTCAAAAGAAAGTTTCATTGAACAAGTTAAAAAATAATTCAATTTTTTCCTTGCATTGAATTTGTTTGTAAATACTTTTGTGTTTGCAGACAATTTTTTGTGCTTGGAAAATTAGGCGAAACACGAAATTCCGTAGGGGTTGAATTAGTACATCATTTTCAAGCCCTATCAGTCATAATTCAGATTAAATTTAGAATTGAAGTTTTTTTGGTGTCGATAAAAAGCGGAGTAAGAATGTTAGCCTTTTAGACGGAACTTATTTCTCATTCTCAGCCAGGTGAGCTGATAATTTATATAATGTTAAGCAAAGTGGTTTAAAATTAAATTTGATTCTTTAATTTTTTTTTATTTATATATTTTTACAGGCCATTGTGATTTCAGTTATTTGACTTTTACCTCTAAATGAAGAGAACGTTGTCTCGATAACTTACAACTATGATCTATTCTTTTTTCTTAATTAATTGCTGCATTTGGTTCGAATTTGGGGATATGGTTTCAAACGCCACCTGCGATTTGCCGCGCTTGACCAAGTAGAGGCTTTGTCCTTTTGTCAGCGCCGGTAGAGCGTGTAAACAATAATCTGTCATCTCTGCGTAGATTGCTTTGGAGGTAAGAATGGTCAAAAACCGGTGCAGTGATAGAATAGAAGGCGTTGTCAATCTGCAATCGATACTGGACTGATTCGATGTCTGGAAAATGCAAACCAGAAAATCAAAGAGTTAGGATCAAAGTAAAGCTCAAAAAGTAATATTAGAATCAGAGGCGTGCGATAATTGTATTTTTTGGGGGTTGTCTTTGAACGAAAAATGTGACCTTTTTCAACTCAACCAATTCATTTGTATTTCCTGTTACATAAAAAATTTAACGAGCAAATTTTGATCGCAAGAACTTTTTTATTGTTCCGACCAATTGAAATATGTGGAGGTACCACAAAATCAAGTACCTCAAATAATCATCGGAATGGACCAATTTATATACCATATTCAAGCCCTTTTATTGTGATTCGAACGATAATTTTTGAAAAATTTGCTTAGTGTTGAGAAAAATCGTTTTGAAATTTTTGGTTTTTGGTCTAACTTCGAGTTG